ATTTCTTCCCTTTATTCCTGACTGTTCTTTCTTTGTTGCTCCAAGCAAATGGAGTCCAAATGTGTCTTTTGGATAGTGGTTTGAAAGCTTTTAAGACTCAGGCACTCTGCAACAAACTAGGAGGTTGAACAGATGTACTAAACACATTATTAGGCCAATTAAGTGGGATGTCCCATGAAATCATGATTTAACTTCCAAATCAAGGAATCCAATCCCAGGAGATATTTGGTTATACTAAACACCTTTACTTAGGCTTGAGAAGAAGATAAAGGAATTTTGACAAAGTAATAAAAAGAAATTAATATTAAATATCATTGCTCTTGTTATCTATTTGATATGACCACTCACATGAGCCCTTTTAGGTCATTTTCTTCTTTAGTTCTCTAGCATCTATCCATTTCTCCAAATATAAATGAGTGGAGGCATAACTCAAAGCACTCCTCAACATGGTTCTTGCAAAAATAGAGAGTGTGTCTACTCCAAAAACAGATTACAGCTATTTAGAACTACAGAAAAGAAGTTTAAGATGTTTTGGAATAAAAGTATGTTCTCATCAACAATGATTCAGAAATACTAAAACACAATGTACAAGCACTTTGTCGGATGTGTTCTATTGAAGAAAATTCATTGAGTTCTACCCTTAGGATCTGTACACTTTTGATAAGTCAAAGAAAGAAAAAGAATTCAACCCATTTCTGGGTTTTTATTATGAGTAGCAGAATTACTGATTCACATGTATTCCATGCTTAGTCCATCTGTATGCTGAGCAAATAATCTAAGAAGCTGGACTATATGAAGAAAAATGCTGCATCAGGATTGGAGGAAGAGTCATTAAGAACTTGCAATATGCAGACAACACAACCTTGCTTCCTGAAAGTGAGGAGGACTTGAAACAATTGCTGATGAAGATCAAAGACTATTGTCTACAGTATGGAATACACCTCAATATAAAGAAAACAAAAATCCTCACAACTGGACCAATAAGCAGCATGATAAATGGAGAAAAGATTGAAGTTGTCAAAGATTTCATATTACTTAGATCCACAATCAACACCAACGGAAGCAGCCGCCAAGAGATCAGACGTCATATTGCACTGGGCAAACCTGCTGCAAAAGACCTCTTTCAAGTGCTGAAGAGCAAAGATGTCTCTTTGAAGACTAAGATTCACCTAACCCAAGCCATGGTGTTTTCAATAGCCTCATATGCATG